CGCGGCGGCGGCGAGGCCAGCTACAGAGCGTTCCCTGCGCATGCCCCACGTGTGCACAAACCTCCCCCTCCCCCCCAAGTGCCCCCGGAGCGTGGATTTAGCGATCCGCACTCATGGGGGCAACTTCGCTATTAGTATATAGTATACTCAAGTGGTTAAGACGCTGAACTGCAGGCTGTGGAAGGTCAGTAGTTCAGCAGTTCAAGACCCGGGTGCCGCAAGACAGGGTGAGCTCCTGTCTCTAGTTCCAGCTCCTGCCAACCTAGCAGTTTGAAAGCAAGAAATTGCAAGTAGATAAATAGGTACCACTTCGGTGGGAAGGTAACAGCGTTCCGTGCGCCTTGGTGTTTAGTCATGCCGGCCACATGACCACGGAAACGTCTTCGGACAGCGCTGGCTCTTCGGCTTTGAAACGGAGATGAGCACCGCAACCCTAGAGTCAGATTCGACTGGCTTTCGAGCAAGGGAACCTTTACCTTTTTATACATAACCAAGATTGCTGTTTAAACATTAATACAAACTGTAAGGTCAGATACATATATCACAATGCCGTCTACTTGCTCTGGAGTCGCCCTTCCCGAGCTAAGACCAAAAAAAAAAAAAAAAGCCAGAGGCTAAAAAACTGTGAGCTAGCTCACACGAACTCAGTTTAGAGGGAACACTGCTTCTGACTAGACCTTACAATTCTTTTTTCTGACATTAAAGGTTTCAACTCTCAATTCTGAAATCAATTATTGATCCTAGCTTGGATAGTGTTACCTCCCTAATGAATATTTTGAGGGGACGAACGCAAGGATTTGTACCGTCATTTCTTTCAGTTGCTCTTCCAGTTTAGTCTTTTCCTCTGTTAACTTTGCAGTAGCAGCAGAGTCAGAATCAGATTTCTGTTCACTGTGGGGGTGACTTGGCTCCTCTTCCGAGTTTGGCCCAGTACTTTTCTCCTGAGTCACTGTACAAAGCATCCGAGAAGTCCTGGAACAAAATCACATTCAATGGCACTTCAAGCGGCTTTCTTTGAGAGAACGCGTTAGTCCAATACAAAGAGGAAGCGGAATGGTAGTTTTTACTAGAGAGACATTTGATAACTCAGATTCGGGTGTGTAGCCGTATTGGTCTTAAACAGCAGCGTCATTGGCTCTTCTTGGCAACATCCTCCTACCTGCATGTAATGGTTGGCGAATTCTGTTTCAATGTATCTGAAGAAGTGTGCATGCATACGAAAGCTTATACCCAGAAACATTATTTGATAATACAGCTTGCTCAAGAACTTCCGCAGACTTCAAGGTAAAGAGCTTCGGAGTGTTAGAAAAAAGCCTTAGTATACTGAGTGCTAGTCACTATGCATCAAAATTGAACACTGATGCTCACTCCATGACTAAGGAAAAAACACAGCCGATTATTGGATTGGTCCCCTATCAGATTATGGCTTCAGCCCTACAGGCATTTTCCAGGAAGTACACTCCATTGAATAACGCAGGACTTACCCCAGACTACAGCTACCTATATGTATCCTGAAACTTACGAATGACTGAGTCAGTTAATGCACCACAGCCATATTGAACAGTATGATTTATATGCAGTTTATTAATCACAAGGTTTTTAAATACTTGTTGTCTTATTTTTGGGTTTTTTATTAGAAGCATTAATTACGGACTTTATTGTGTTATTCTGTGTATGACTGCTGGCCTGTACTCATTGCCACATAAAAATGTGCCCAACAAGAACTGAAGTGTGATTTTACAGGCATGCACATACTGCAGTTAAAGTGAACCAACATGAAAATTAAGCTCAGATTGGTACTTAAAAGTTTCAGGCTTTTATCTGCCATCCTAGGATTTCTAAGTGGGTAGAGGCCAAAAGGTTAGGATATATTTACAAACGACCCCCCTAACTCCCCCTCACACAAACAAGTTTAAGGCATTCTTTTTTCCCTAGCATGCTCTCCTAATTATCTTTTTTTCCTGGGAGAAAGCAATTGAGACACATCACCATGTTTTGAAAACTGTACGTGAAAGGGCAATAATCCTGCACTGATACGGTAGAATGACCAGCCAGCACTGCAGGGGACCGCCTAGCTCTGTGCTTGCTCAAGGGCCGTTTCAGCATCTCCAATCCACAAGAGACAAGAAAGGAGGCAGTCATGCTCGATGGGTGACCTTGGGCCAGTCACCCTCTCTCAGCCCCAGGATTACTGTGAGGATAAAAACAGAGATGTAAGCCACTCTGAGTACCCATGGGGGGGAAAAGTGAGGTATAAGTGAATTAAATCAGGGAAAAAAGCAGTACAATGGATGGCACTACATCAGACGCCATGTGGAGAATCACATGCTGGAGCACGGCCCTATGTTTAAAAATATGTCCTGCAAGCCAGCGCAGCAAGAGAATAGCATGGTGAAGTCCTTTCCCCCGATTTGCTAGCTTTCCATTTGCAAGAAGATCAATCCAGATGGGCAGCCGTGTTAGTCTGTAGCAGAAGAATGCGGTGGCTCAAGTGGTTAAGACGCTGAACTGCAGGCTGTGGAAGGTCCGTAGTTCAGCAGTTCGAGACCCGGGTGCCGCACGATGGAGTGAGCTCCCGTCTCTAGTTCCAGCTCCTGCCAACCTAGCAGTTCGAAAGCAAGAAATTACAAGTAGATAAATAGGTACCGCTTCAGTGGGAAGGGAACAGCGTTCCGTGCGCCTTGGTATTTAGTCACGCCGGCCACATGACCATGGAAACATCTCCGGACAGCGCTGGCTCTTTGGCTTTGAAACGGAGATGAGCACCGCAACCCTAGAGTCGGATTTGACTGGCTTTCGAGCAAGGGAACCTTTACCTTTTAGCAGAATAGATGCTTTCTAATGATGGTGCTGGAGAAGACTCTTGAGAGTCCCTTGGACTGCCAGGAGATCAGATCAGTTAATCCTGAAAGAAATCAACCCTGACTGTTTCCTGGAAAGCCAGAGACTGAAGCTGAAATACTTTGGCCACCCAAACGAGAAGGGAGCCCTCCCTGGAGAAGACCCTGATGCAAAGTTTGAGGGTAACAGAAGAGGGGGACGGCAAAGGATGAGATGGTCAGACAGTGTTCTCGATGCATCGAACATGAAGTTGAGCAAACTCCGGAGCACGATGGAAGACTGGAGGGCCTGGCGTGATGCGGTCCATGGGGTCACGAAGAGTCGGACTCGACTGTGCGTTGTTGTTGTTCAGTCGCACAGTCGAATCCGACTACTTGCGACCCCATGGACCAGATCACGCCAGGCCTTCCTGTCTTCCACCGTCCTCCAGAGTTTGCTCAACTTCATGTTCGTTGCATCTATGACACTGTCTAACCATCTCATCCTTTGCAGTTCCCGTCTTCTTTGACCTTCAGTCTTTCCCAGCATCAGGGTCTTCTCCAGTGAGTGCTCCCTTCTCATTTGGTGGCCA